AGCTATAATTTGCTCAAATAAATTTTCTGCCCCTTTTCTCTTTCTTCGTCTTCTGGGACTCCTGAAATGATATGAACGTTAATATGTTTTAAGTAGTTGCTGAGTTCCCTAAGTCAACATTTATGATCCAATACTTTTCTTTCCCTCTTCTTCTCAGCTTCATTATTTTCCATAACTTTATCTTCTATATCACTAATGTGTTCCTCTGCTTCATCCATCCTCATTGTCATGGCATCCATTCGGATTTGCATCTTGGTTATAGCATTTTAAATTTTGCCTTGACTAGATTGGATTCTCTAGTATCTTCTATGGTTTTTTTTTTCAAGCCCAGTTAGTATCCTTATAATTGTTGTTTTAAATTCTAGTTGAAACATTTTACTTATATCTGCACTGATTAAATCCTTACCTATTACTTCTTCCTGTTCTTTCTTTTGGGGTAAATTCCTCTGTCTTGTCATTTTGTCCAGGAGGAGAAAGAAAGAAGAAAGAAAGAAAGAAAGAAAGAAAGAAAGAAAGAAAGAAAGAAAGAAAGAAAGAAAGATCCTAGGTGGTGTTTTAGTCTGCTTGTTAAGTAAGTGAGATCTAAAAATATGAAAAATAATACAAAAACAAATAAAAGATAAATTAAATTTAAAGTAATAATAATAATAAAAATAAAAAGGAAGCCAGATCCTGTTTCCTCTAGAGCTGAAGCTTTGAGGCACTCTGTGATCAGTAGACTTGGTGTGAGCAAGGTGTTGTGCTAGTCTTCTGGGGAAGGAGTCTGTTGCACTGATTCTCTGGTGGACTTGCACTAGTGGAGATATGCCTGCAGGATGCAAGAGGGTGGGGCTCGGCGTAAGTGGCTCTGGCCTCCACTGGCTGCTGCTATGTTGCTCACTGAAGTCCATTGGTGCTGATGAGTAGGATAAATATGGTGGTGCCCAGCCCTCTTCTCCCAAAGTGAGGAGTCCGCACCTGCCACCCTTCAGGAAGCCCTCATAAAAGAGCACACAATCACCTCTTCTGTGTTCCCAGCCTCCATGAGATCCCTGCCTTCACCCTGCCTGTGTCTGAGCTGTCTGCCTGCCAGGTGGCAGGGCACTCTTGTGTTTTAGCTCAGGCTCAGCTGGGTTCCAAAACTCCAAATTTGAGCAATCCATGCCAGCACCAATCCCTTGGGGAAAGGTCTTGCTACCCACCGGTTTGTCCCAGAAATTGGCTGAGAGATGTTGCTGCAGCTTGAAGTTTATGGCAAAGTGTAGTAGAATGCCAGTACCAAGGCTCACTGCCCTTAGCCAGTGCCCCCATTCCTATGCTAGTAAATGGGGCAGCTCAATGGCCCCCGCCAGGTCTACCACCCCTGGAAGTCATGCCCACCCCTCCCAAATGCACTCCAATAAGGGGAACTGCCTCTCCCCATGAAGCCCAGAGGACCCTCAGACCAGGCTGTCTACGCCCAGGTCTCCACCTTCCCTCCCCACCAGAGCACTGCCTTAAAATTTTAAAAGTATTTTATCTGCCATCACTTTGTGTGTGGTACAGATGAAGGGTCCTAAAAAAGTGAACTTCAGGCCATCTTACCCAGAAGCCCCAAATTGCAGCTTCTTACTTTTCTGACTCTGGCTTGTGGGTGTGAAGGAAGTAACATAAGTATTTGTGCCCACCCTTTTCTGATTGGGGATCTTGTCCTCCCTACCTCACTTCCACTTTTTCCCAGGAATTTCTCCCAGGGGGCATTTGGTGTCACATGTGCTCACAAGCTAGCCTGCTTAGATCCAGACACTCCAGTGCTCCTGGAGATGTTAACCACCTGGCAGCCACATAAGGGCATCTCTTCCCATTGCTCAGAGACTAATATCCTCCAAAAATTCAAGACGTCCAAGTCCAAATGGTATTAGAACCACCCGAATTCCCCACAAAAGTGGACAGAACATCTCTCTTTTCAGAGACCTCAGACCAGAGTTCAAGGGTAGGGCTGAAGCATGGACCCATGCTTTCTGCTTCCTCTTTCCCAGTGCCATCCTAAGTATGTCCCACAAGGCTGTGGACCCAGAAAAGAGGCTGAGCTGAAAGAAAAACAAAAGCATTTATTTGTGTTTCTCAGAATTACAATTCAGGGAAAACAGATGCAGATAGCAACCCAAATAGGGCCTCCCTGGGAACAAAAGTCAAGGAAATTTAAAGACAAAAGGGAATGTTTGTATATGTTGTTTACAAAGAATTTTGATTGGTGCTGGTGGCAGAAAATGAGACTTGGCTGAATATAATTGGTTGCTAAGGCTCCCCCTAAGCAAAGTCTCTTATTGCAGCAAGTTGCAGGTGTTCAGAGTCCTTAGAATATTTGTGGTTTGGCTCGGTTCAGAAGTTCTTGGTCCTACCTGGCAAGATGTACATGAGGCCTCCTTCCTGGCAGCCCCACTCCATTTTAAAACCCCTTGACATAAGTGAAACCATTGCATTTCACCTTTCTTTTTTTCTTTATGTGTGTGAGAGAGAGAGCACGAGCAGGGTGAGGGGCAGAGGAGAAGCAGGCTCCCTGCTGAGCAGGGGGCCCAATGTGGGGCTCAATCCCAGGACCCCGGGATCATGACCCAAGTCGAAGGTAGACACTTAGCCAATTTAGCCACCCTTCAAAAGGCAAACCAGCTCATGCAAACAGGTTCATCAGAAACTACTCCGCTCTGAATCCCGCGCTGGGCCACATTTTGCATGTGACTAGAAAGGAACATTTAATTGTAGCAGAGATTTTATCTAGGTGGGTGGATTACAGCAATGTTTAAAATCTTTTTTTGTGGTTTTATATATTTTCCCATGATTAATGTTTATAAGCTTTGTAATCATCCAAAAATGTAATTGGCAGAAAACGTCTATCCTTCCCAAATGTTAGTCAGAAGAAAGGCATGTTGGGCAGCCCAGGCGGCTCAACGGTTTAGCGCCGCCTTCAGCCCAGGGCATGATCCTGGAGACCTGGATCGAGTCCCATGTCGGGCTCCCTGCATGGAGCCTGCTTCTCCCTCTGCTCATGTCTCTGCCCCTCTCTCTGTGTGTCTGTCATGAATAAATAAATAAAATCTCTTTAAAAAATTAAATAAATAAATAAATAAATAAATAAATAAATAAATAAATATTTGCGTCTTCTCCAGATATTAGGAGACAAATGGACTTTCATCTGTCAGAACTTTGGCAAGGACGTGATCATGTTGCTCCATTGCTTTACATGTTTTACTGGCTCCCCAGCAACCAGGGCAGGGGCCTAGATCTTTAGCTCACCTTGTATCAGACCCCTCATAGTCTGACTCCTGCTCCTGGCTTTAGTTCTGCTTCCAGCTTGTCCTTCCCTATATCATTGTTTAGTCACACTGAACTGCTTATAGCTTCTTGAACATGGAATGCATTCCCATCTTTATGCCTTTCTGTTTGGTCTTCCAGTTGCTCTGAATGTCCTTTTAGCTTTCTACCTGGCAAACTCCTATCCACCCTCTAAAACCCATCTCAGATCCATCACTTCCACTGGGAAGTCCTCCTGTGGTTCTCTTCTTGTCAATCCTGGATCTGCTTTGATCATGCTGGATTATTTTACTCAGCTCTGCATACCCAGACAGTATATGACACATGGTATTTCCTAAATACTTGTCAAACTGAGGCAGTTTACTCATGCCACAAATATGCGTGGGGTGCCTACCACCTGCTGAGCATCATGTTAGTTTCCTGGAATTCAAAATTAATGAGTTTCCTTACCTTTCGGAGCTCACAGTCCAGTGGGGTAGACAGAGAATCATGCACAGATCATCAAAATGACAGTAGGACTCGGACAGCTTTGCCTCACCTCTACTCATTCTGCATTCCCTTCTTTAACTGGTCACAACTTGAAAGCATAAATCATACTTACTGCTTTGCTTATTTCTTCAAAAGAACTTTCCTTTTACTACATGTAGTTTCTGAAGTCACTTAATGGAAGTCACTTCACTCCACTATGAGGAACACAATCTGAATAGTCAAAGTCGCCCCCAAATTGGTGCTTCCCAAGCAAGGGGGCACCCCATGACTGGAGGTGTGCAAGTCAGCGCTGCTGACCACCAGGTCTGGTTGGGGTAGGGTAGAAGAGGGATTTAAGCTAAAAAAAAAAAATGTTGGTTGAGCTCTGTGACCTTGAAAATCTTTCTAATCCTGATTCTTTTTTTTTTTTTAAGATTTTATTTGTTTATTCATGATAGACCCAGAAAGAGAGAGGCAGAGACACAGGCAGATGGAGAAGCAGGCTCCACACAGGGAGCCCGACGTGGGACTCGATCCCGGGACCCCAGGATCATGCCCTGAGCCGGAGGCAGATGCTCAACCGCTGAGCCACCCAGGCGTCCCTCTAATCCTGATTCTAAGGAAAACATGTCAAACCTAAGCCAAGATCATGGGACTGAAGTTGTCAAATGCTATCATTATAGCACAAACTCTGGGATAGTCACCCTTGAAAGAGAACCAGATGTTCTTCATTGTCTCTGACACTGTCTTAAGTCATTTCCTTAAATCATTCTAAGGAAAACATGTCAAACCTAAGCCAAGATCATGGGACTGAGGTTGTCAAATGCTATCATTATAGCACAAACTCTGGGATAGTCACCTTGAAAGAGAACCAGATGTTCTTCATTGTCTCTGACACTGTCTTAAATCATTGGTACCCAGTGAAATATGCCAAGTTGGAATAGGAGATTTTTCAGAGATCACCAGAAGGGATCACCAGTTTTGCAGATCTTACACTGCCTTGGGACTAGCCCAGTGAGAACTGGCTAAGCCTATGGGCAGAGGAGTATGTGGATGACTGCAAAAGGGCTTCAGGTGAGCCCCTAATGACTCTGGAGTCCAGGTGGGACTACGATCCAAGGAGTCCTTTAAAGTATCCCATCAAGGGCCACATATTGGAAGAAATTTCTTTTTTATATAATTTTATTTTTTTAAGATTTATTTATTTATTTATGAGAAACACAGAGAGAGAGAAAGAGAGAGAGGGGGCGGAGAGAGAGAGAGAGAGAGAGAGAGAGAGAGAGAGAGAGGCAGAGGGAGAAGTAGGTTCCATGCAGGGAGCCCGATGTAGGACTCGACCCCAGGTCTCCAGGATCACGCCTTGGGCCGAAGGCAGGCGCTAAACCGCTGAGCCACCCGGGCTGCCCTGGAAGAAATTTCTTCTACCAACCTGCCTGCTTTAAGACAAAACAAAGCAATTATTATTTCCTTCATTTTGTAAATTAGTGAGACATCTAAAATCACCCTTTGGGGGTCTGAATCTGCAACAGATGTCCAGGGTTATCAGCTTCGGCTGACGTCTTGCCAGGCAGGATGAAAAGTGAAAAGCACTTCAAATTTTAGTTGCAGTGTGGCCTGATCTAAGCCTATGTATAATTTCTCATAGATTTTTGGCCAATAGGGCTCACCTTCTTCCCTCCCTCCTGGGTCCCTTGAACTGGGAATCTCTTCATAGGACAAGTCCAGTACATTTTACTGGATTAATTGGGACTGAGTTTTGCTCCCCATGTAGTTAAATGCACAGTCTCCAGAGTCAGCCCAACATGGCTGTCCAGCCATCTGGACAAGTCACTCACCTTTCAGAGTTCCACTTTCCCTTTGGTGCAGTGATGATAATAATGCCCACTAAACAGGGCTGTGTTACATAATTAATTGAACACTATGGGTAAAGTCCTTAGCAGAGTGCACACGGCTCAAAGTGAGTGCTTCAACATTTCTGTTGGCGATCAATATGAGTAGGATTAATGAAGTCTCCCTTGGCTCATTAAGGGCTGAGCAGAGCCTGCTCCGAATTGTTGGTGATTTTTTGTTCCACAGTGCGTTTTTGGATTTCCTACCTGCTTGTGTCCCTGAAGAAGAGGAAATGGAAGACATGCAGTCAGATGGAAGCCGGCCAACATCGTTCCAGTGAAATCCTTGCCCCATCCTTGTACCTTCAGATTTCTCTGAACCAAGTCAGCCACTAGTCAGCATATGGATAATTAAGGGGCTGTGGGTGTGATCTCTTTAGGAAAGTCAGGAAGAGGAGGAGCTGGGGAGAGGTGAACTGTGGGCTTCACAACGCAGGCTGCTGTTCAGACCACAACTTCTCTGGGACCTGCGGTCTAGAAGATGGGAAAAAGGATGAGCATGCTGGAAGACCCAGCCCAGCCAGACCTTGAAAGCTGCAGAGGGTGAGTGGCCCATTCCTCTAGTTTTCGATGCCAGTGACAAGAGAAAGGCAAGGGTTCTCTGCCTTTGGTGGGGAAGCTATGAAGGATGACTCTGCCTGGGGCAGAAGTCAGGAGATATGAGCTCTGCTCTTGCCTGGTTGCTAGAAAGCTGTGCAACCTTGGGCAAGTCACCAGACCTCTCTCGGCCTGTTTTCACATCCGGAAAATCAGGAATTGGCCTAGTCAGAGTAAAGACAATATCTAGCATTTGTACAGTACTTACCAGTTGCGCTTCCCAAATAGCATCTCATTTGATCCTCATAGCAGCCCTTGTTGGAAGGATGCCTGTCACATGTTGCAGATGAGCAAACTATAGCACAGTCAGGCCAGTGATTCAGTTAGGGCAAAGCAAGCCTGGACCTAAACTCCTGGTCCCTGAGGACAATTCTGGCCTCCCGGGAGCACACTGTTCCCCTAGACCTCTGCAATCTGAAGATTCCTGGCTTCTTGCAAGGACTTCCGTCTCCTTTTCTCCCCCATGCCCTCCCTCCCTCCCTCCTTCCAGCCAGCTGTTCCAGCCTCTTCTCCACCAGCTTCCCAGAATTTCTTCTCCTTCTGCAGCCCCAAAACACTAACATTTCTGAGAAGGGGGAGGTGAACACCAGACACCCTGTCCCCACCCTCCCTGGGTTAGTGTTTACACACAGTCTCATTTTCCAGAGTTCTCTCTGCATTGTGGAATGCGTTCCTGTGGGTCCCAAGTGGTGAAGTAAGTGGGGCTGTTTAACCTTCAAGGTTGAGCCTGGACTAGCCGGCAGGGGTCGCAAACATCCAGGGTGCTGGTTAAATGCTCAGATTCCTAGGTCTCATTGCAAAGTTGGTGAGTCAGAGTGGGCATTTTAGCAAGCTCTCCCTGTTTCTGATAGGCACATATCACAGCTTGGGAGGTGCTACTCTTCTGGATACTGCACCGTTGGGACAGCAGAGGATGGTTGACGGATTTCTTGATAGTGAACTATCCTTGTATATGTGGAAAAAGTCCTTCCTGATAAAGGTGGATTACTATTTTTTAAAGTAAATTCCAGGATTTAATTGGTTATATTTTAGTTTGAGTGTTGGATCTCTATAAGTTACACTTGTCTAGAATTTTCCTTTTTTTGTACACTATCTTCATTGGGATTGAGTAATGCTAGCTTTGTAAAATAAATTGGGAGTCTTACCATTATTTATTTTTTTTTTAGACAGCATGAGAAATGCAGTCAATGATAGTGTAACGATGTTGCCTGGGAAGAGGTGGCTACACTTGTGGTGAGCACAGCATAACTAGAGTTACATCTGAAACTAATACAACATTGTGTGTCAACCATAGCCCCTCCCCCCAAAAAAAATGTTTTAAGAATGAAAAAAATAAATAAATGAGCAAAAATCACCAATCAAAAGCCCCAAAATACAAAATTTGCAGCACTCAGTAGATCACGGAAAGAATGCTTATTTATAGTATGAGAGCTGAAACAGGAAGGCAGAGGGTCACTTTGTTTGACCTTAGCTGTGAACGTGTATGTACATCAGGCAGCTCAAATTTATCACTGCTTTGTTCATGTTCACAATGTCTGGGAAAATGCTGCAAGTTTGGGGGTTACTAATAAGTTTTAACAAATAAGTGAATTCATGAATATGAGATCAACAAACAATGAGCAATGAGGATCGACTGCAGTTAAGTCATTTAAGGTTATACTGAACTCATGGGATACAAAGCTATTCTCTCAGAGGAACGTTTATAGCACAGGATGCTATAAATCCTCACAGCTTCAAGTTTGGTCTGTTGGGTCTGATGCCACAGACAGTGGTATCCTCATTTATCACTATCACCTCTGTTCAGGTCATTGCATAGTTAAGCTTGTTTGTGAGGGTGCTAGTTAGCTGATACCCTGGGGACATCAAAGAATATGCCCTGGACTCAGGGAGTCAAGATTCGAGGTCTGAGTCCTGGTGTGGCTTGTACTAGAAGTGTTGAAGCAGAGGGTGGAGTCTCTGGGACACGGTGGAGAACACGCTGGCCTCGGATTTGAATTCTCTCTCTCCCTTTATCACTGGCTGAATAAAGTTCGCTAAAATACTCAGCTGCTCTGAATCTATTTCCTCCCTATAAAACATCATGACTCACCAGGCTATGACAGAGACCAAATGAAGTAGGGGGTGGGAAGTATTTGGAAAACAGTAAAGAGCTGTTGGAATGCAAAGTGGGGAAGTATTGTCATCATGTTACTTGCATTCCCAGAGTGTGCCACTCTCTGATCTTATGCCCACAGTCTGGGCTCCATCTCATGGGACCCTATGATTCCAGAACCTAAAGACACACGAGGCCAGGCTAGCTGATGCCAGATGGAAGAAAGAGACAGGGACTTAGGGACTTAAAGAAGCAATCTTGCAGAGGCTTGTATCCCACAGGCGAAGCTGATCCAACCCATGGAAGGCCCGAGGCCATAGTGAGAAGAAGGCACAGATCCTGGAACCACCAGGAGCCCTTGACCACCCCAAACCCTTAAACCTGTCTCCTTTTCTCCCAGCACCATGAGTACCGAGGAAGATGCCAAGTGGCTTCAGTGGGTGACACACCAGTTTGAGACCATTGCGGGAAAAGACAGGGAGATCAACCTGCAACAATTCAAAACAGCCCTGAATGTGAAAGAGGCAAGTGTCCACTCTGGAAGTGGGGCCCTGCATTCATAAAGGAAGGGCAATCTGGATCTCAAGGACACAGCACCTCGCAAGGAGGGAAAGATGGCTCCCTGGGCGTCCTCAGGGCTTATGGCCCCACCCTGATCAGGATCAGAGAATGTTTCTGTGTCTGCTGCTCATGCTCTTCCATCCTTCTGGTGGCCATGCCTCCTGGGGTCTTCAGCACGACATGTGAAGTTGGGTATCAGTAGGTCGCCAGATTTTTTTTTTTTTAAGATTTTATTTATTTATTCATGAGAGACACAGACAGAGAGGCAGAGACACAGGCAGAGGGAGAAGCAGGCTCCATGCAGGGAGCCTGATGCGGGACTTGATCCCAGGACCTCAGGATCATGACCCAATCCAAAGGCAGTTGCTCAACCACTGAGCCTCCCAGGTGTCCCTTGCCAGATCTTAAGAAATATATTTGGCCTCATATTTTCCACCAGCCTCATGGGCAGAGTGGATGCTGTGATGTCCATAAGCCTCCTTCCAAGAAATAAGTTTCTTGATGATTTGTATACACAAAACTCCCATACCATTCCCAGCCCATTCCCATTTTATAGGTTCTCTGCCGTTCCTGTAGCAGCCTGCATGGCCAGCAAACAGGGGAGACATCCACAGAAAGATGGGGGGAGTGAGCCTGCAAATGTCAACTTCTCCCCACACATTTTAGGGCTGGTATCTGGTGGTGACCTGTGTCCCTGATAAGGGTGAGCCAATGAGCATTCATTTGCATGTCCCCTATTTGGATCAGAGTGCCCCTCCCTTGCTGGAGGCAGGGATACTGCTAAGAACTCTAAATGCCAGGCCTCCTTCCATAGTAAACATGGGGAAGGACCAAAAGCCTTTCTGCCTAACAATACATCATGCTTTTAACAGGATGCTGTAAAATACCTTAAGATAAAGATGACTCAGGACAATAGAGAGTGATAAAGAGATTAGCCAGAGATCCAGGGAAGAAAGAGGAGAGCCAAGGCAGGGGTGATGGCCTGTAGCCGACTTCAGCCCCCACTTCCTGCTCATGAACTCCTCATGGTTTCTTTAGGTCAGACATGAAGCCCTGCAGGCCCCTCTCCCTGCCTCAAGGGGAGCATCCAGGGCATGGCATATGTGGCCCCATCTCCTTTAATTTCTGTGTTGGGTGCCTAACACCAGGCCTGGCAAGTGGGGGCTGTGCTGGACATGATTGCTGAATGAATGAATGAATGAATGAATGAGTGAATGAATGAATGTGTGAATAGAGTGAGTGAATGGGAGCTTTAAGAACAAGCTTTAAGGGGCAGCCTGGGTGGTTCAGCTCAGTTAAGCATCTGCCTTAGGCTCAGGTCATGATCCCAGGGTCCTGGGATCAAGCCCCACATTGCGGGGGGGGGTCCCTGCTCAGTGGGGTGTCTGCTTCTCCCTCTCCCTCTGCCCCTCCCCCTGCTTGTGCTCTCTTGCTGTCAAATAAATAAAATCTTTTTATTTTTTTTTTAGATATTTTATTTATTTATTCATGAGAGACACACACAGAGAGAGAGGTAAAGACACAGGCAGAGGGAGAAGCAGGCTCTATGCAGGGAGCCCAATGTGGGACTCCATCCCAGGATCCCAGGATCACACCCTGGGCTGAAGGCGGCGCTAAACTGCTGAGCCACCCGGGCTGCCCAATAAAATCTTTTTAAAAAGAGAGAGAGAGAGAGAAAGAAAAAGAGCAAGCCTTAAGTGTAGGCCACAGGCAGCCTAAACAATGAGTACAGGGATGATCGCAGTGTTCAAGTACCATCTGCCCTCTAAGAGCTACCTTCCTGATTTCCTTGGCCCTTGTGGTCATCCCAAGGGGATAAGACAGGACCCGGGAGGAACCTGCAGGCTCTGACCCTTTTCACATGCTGAGGGGTCTGGACTGCATGGCTGATGGGGGTGACGGCGTGCAGGGGACACAGAGCCTGTATAAATGACCAAGTTGAGAGCTAGTGGGGGGCCAGAGGCCCAGACACAAGCCCATCCTTCTGCTGGGATCTGAATAGTTCTTCCATGGGAGTCCAAACTTGCTCTGGGCAAGCAGGATGGGCCGTGGACACCACCTCCTGGTGTGGCCAAGTGGTAAATCACAGTGTGTGCAAGCCCCGGGGTCCTGCCTCGAGCCCACCACCCCAGGGCGCATGCGCACACCCCCTGCATGACCTCTAATCCAGGCCCCACAGGTGCCTGTCTCCTGTCTTCTTCCCGCCACAGTCCTTCTTTGCAGAGAGATTCTTCACCCTGTTTGACTCCGACGGAAGTGGCACCATCACCCTCCAGGAGCTGCTGGAGGCGCTGACCCTGCTCATCCACGGCAACCCCATGGACAAACTCAAATTCCTCTTCCAGGTGTACGATGTTGATGGTAAGGACTCTGAAGGTGTCCTGTTTTTAATCTTTCCAGGAATGCCTTACTCTTCATAGAGGTTGCACTGTTTTACCTTCCTACCAGCCATGCACAAGGTTCCAATTTCTCCACGTCCTTGCCACACTTGCTATTTCTGTCTTTTGTTTGTTTGTTTGTTTTTTAACAGTAGCCACCCTAGTGGGTATGAAGTGGTAACTCAAGTGTATTTAGAGCATCACTTTCTGTGGCTGCGTCCTATTCCACAATATCGACATAAGCGACTGTGTGTCCCGTGTCCCACGCAGCACAGCCTCGGACTTAAGATCTCTGACTTGGAGGTCAGGCTGCCAAAGTTCAGATCTCAGCTCCACCACTTTTTAATAATCATGGAGCCTCTGGCAAGTCACTTAACTCCTTTGTGCCTCAGTTTCTTTACCTATTACATGCGAATAATGGTTATAAAAGTGTACACTCATGAGGCTGATAGGATTAAGTTAACTTATGTAGATTCAGAACAGTGCTCAGCACACCTTTATAGGTGTCACCTGTTATTTAGTACTATTTATTCAAGCAAACTGGAGAATTTCATTGTCTCCCTTTCCCAGCACTCTTTCTTTCTTTCTTTCTTTCTTTCTTTCTTTCTTTCTTTCTTTCTTTCTTTCTTTCTTTCTTTCCTTCTTTCCTTCTTTCCTTCTTTCTTCTTTCTTTCTTTCCATTATAAATGACACTGCTATGAATGTCCTGCTTTCAAATCTTTGACTGCTCTATGGCATCAGGCATCTCTGAGGGCCTGGAATCATCAGAAGAAGAGGTATTTCAGTGAGAAAGAGGCACCCAGTGAGACTGGACAGGTCTCCAAGGTTTGGAGTCTCAGTTTGGAGTCTCAGCCTCAGCCACAGGGAGCCACTGAAGAGTGTTGAGCAGAGAAGTCACTGGGCTGGATTTGCATCCTGAAAAGCTCTACCTAGCTGCAGGCCTGCTCCCAGTGAAGGGCCCTCTGGCTTATGGGGTTTCTTTACCTCCCGGTCCTACCTGATTCAATCTAGCCAGACCTCATTCCTGGAACCCACTCCTCAAATTGACCTCCTTCCCCTGGTACATAGGCAGTTGGCCATACCTGCTACCTAAACATCAACATCTTCCTCCCAGTCTCCATGGGACAGTCCTCACTGACTGCCTTCTGATCACCAAGCTTTGGTCACTCCCAAGAGGTTGGTTTGTGACAGGAGAAGCAGCACACTCACCTTCTCCTTGCAGACAGTGGTGGGGAGGAAGGCAGGGAAGAGCAGGAGATGTATAACTAGAGGGCATTCCCTTCCAGTGGCTTCTGTTTTCTTTGAGAGCCAGGCAGGGATTGGATGCGCATGGAGGTGAGAAGTGGTCTTTGCAGACAATACAAGAGTGATCTCACTAGGAAAACAGGAGAAGGTTGGTAGGCAAGTTGAAGGCCTTGCTGTGGCTGGGGATCAAAGCTTCCTGCTCTCTTGGGTGCTTTTCTGCAAAAATGTTCTATTAGCTGCCCTGGTACAGGAAGGGAGATAACAGGTGGCTAGATTCACTCAGGGATGGGATATGTTTAGGTTGCTGGAATAGGATAGCGGGACAAGGGAGAGGAATGTGTGTATGAGAATAATAGTGAAGAGGAATCCTGGATTTGAAATTAGCCAATGAGTGAATAAAGCTGGACCACTGAGAGGATATGAAGGGAGCTGGGGAGGAACTGGAGCTCTGGCTGCAGTTAGAAACCTGTTGCATGCTGGCTCTTGACCAGGCGAGCTGAAGGACAGGACATGTGATGGGAGAGTGGTACGTTTGACTCTTCTGTCATGTGATTACAGACTTTGGCTTGGGCCTTCATGGTGATCACGGTACCAATAAGACTTTCCATGTATATGCAACTACCTTTTTCCAGATACTGCAATAAGTGCTTTTTAATTATCAATTGTCCTTGAGCCAGTTTTTTTTTTTCTTGAGCCAGTTCTGAAAGGGACGAATTATTATCTCCATTTTATAGATGAGCAAAGTAAGGTTCACCTCCATAGGACTTACAGCCCACCATCAGTTAGTAAGGGGGCAGAAACAGGAAGCTACCTCAAGTGTGTCCGCACCAAATCACGCCAAGAACTCATTAATCACAGGCTCTGCTGCTTATGAAGAATGGAAATATATACAAAAAAAAAAAAAAAAACCCGCCCCCAATCTCATCTCAGTGGGTGGATTTGGCTTCCTTTTCCCATCACACCTTTGGTCCCTCATGTGCATGTAAGGTCACATGGCCAGACGTGGGTACCCAGCTCTGACCTCTCAGGACAACATGGAAGAGCAAGTTCTGCTACAAGCTGGAGAACAAAAGGGAACTTCCTTCACCACCAACCCATGTACAATTTGCCTCTGGATAATTGAGGCTCTGGGCACGTAGCTCCTTACAGATTAATCAAGCAAATGTTCTCTTCTGTGCAGATGGTCTTGGAAGCTCAGTACTTAGAAAGGAGGCTGCAGATTCTGGAGAAAGGCTTGCACTAAGATTCTCCATGTCTGGGCAGGAGTTCATCTCCGCTGAGCAGGACAGTAGGGAGCCACGGAAAGTTTCTGAGCCAAGGATGACATTGTGTACTTTGCCTGCCTATACCCCAAAAGGGACTTGGTTGGCAGAAAACCGGAGGTGGGCGAATAGGGAAGGTTCACCACCCCACGCAAAGGCTGGGCACGGCAGGGGGGGGTCTGCAGGTACAGAGTGGGGCCCAGCACAAGTCCCCAACTCGGCTGCATCCCCACTTGGGACAGGCAGCGGCTCCATCGACGCGGACGAGCTGCGCACCGTGCTGCGGTCGTGCATGCGCGAGAGCGCCATCTCGCTGCCCGACGAGAAGCTGGACCAGCTGACGCTGGCGCTCTTCGAGTCGGCCGACAAGGACTGCAACGGCGCCATCACCTTCGACGAGCTGCGGGACGAGCTGCAGCGCTTCCCCGGGGTCATGGAGAACCTGACCATCAGGTGCGGCTCTGCGTCCCGCGTGGGTACCGCCCGCGTGCAGGTGCCGCTCCGGCTGCGCAGGCTGGTCTGAACGCTCCCGGGACCCCTCAGCCCCGCCCCGCCCCGCCCTCCGCTGCCAGCCTGGCCCCGCCCCGCCCCGCAACAGCCTGCCTGGCCCCGCCCACCAACCCCTCCTGTCCTGTTTGGCCCCGCCCCCTCAGCCCCTCCCCGTCCAGCTCAGCCCCGCCCAGCCCCGCCCCGCAGCAGCCTGCCCTGCCCGGCAGCATCCTGCCCGCCCCCGTCCAGCCTAACCCGCTTTCTCAGAGGGGACAAAGGTCTGTAGTGCGGGACAACTGTTGTCAAGCCTCCGTTTTCAGTGTCTTTTCAGAATCAGCTTCACAGTGTTAAGCGCCCACTATTGGCTGGGCATTTTTACGAATAGACCCGTGCATTTTATAGCAACGCCCAGAAGGAAATTAGTCAGGTCACCTGAAGGAGCTTATCTAGGATCACACAAATGATTAGCAAAGGCACACACACTTATTCAACGTGGTCGGGCAGGCACGGCTGATTTATAGGTAATGTCTATAATGCCAATAAGCAGACGCATAAACTAGACGGGCACTAAACAGGTAAGGGCTGCGGAGAAAATAAAATAGAGGGTAACAACACACCTAAGTTTGACTCCAAGCTCTCGCAGTTGATTCTTTTGGTGTGTTAGCTCACTTGTGGGTTATCCACCACAACATATCTCAGATTCTTCCATTCTTTCCTCTTTTTTCTTTAAGATTTTATTTATTTATTCAAGACAGACACACACAGAGAGAGGGGCAGAGACACAGGCAGAGGGAGAAGCAGGCTCCATGCAGGGAGCCTGATGGGGGACTCGATCCCGGGTCTCCGGGGTCACGCCCTGGTTCGAAGGCGGCGCTACACCGCTGGGCCTTGGGGGCTGCCCTCTTCCATCCTTTCGGATCACCCCCCCCCCCTCAGTTCGCAAGTAAAGGAGGTAATAAGAACGGCGGCGGATGCAGCGTCAGACAGGTGGGAGTTCCATCTCGGCCTTGCCGAGCTGTGTGACCCCGGGCCAGTGGCTTGGCCTCTCTGTTCCCTGTGTACCGGGAAGCCGGCCGGCTTGCCACGAGGCCCCGGAGAGTGGGTGGAAGGCCGCGGGCGTGGGGTGCCTCGGTGCCCCCCGGGGCCCGTTCCCCTCCGCAGCTGCCCTGAGCACAGCCCGTCCCTTGCAGCGCTGCCCACTGGCTGACGCCCCCCGCCGCCCCGCGCCGCCCGCGCCGTCCGCGCGCTCTGACCTGGGCCTACTGGCACAACCACCGCAGCCACCTGCTCTGCCTGGCGGCCTTCGCGGGCCTCCACCTGCTGCTCTTCGCGCTGGCGGCCAGCGAGCACCGGGCCCGGGGCGCCAGCGTCATGGTGGCCAAGGGCTGCGGCCAGTGCCTCAACCTCGACGGTAGCTTCATCGCGGTAGGACTCCGCGGGCAGGATGCCCAGAGGTGGCCGGGGTGGGGTGGGGAGAATGGGGATGCTGATGTAGGTTCCCCAGGGCCGCAGGGACCCACACGTGGACTCCTGGAGCACCAGGGCGGGAGGGCGCCTCGGAAGGTCAACACTCGGTGGACACTGAGGCCCAGGGAGGGGCAGTGACTTGTCCGTGGTCACACAGCCTGTAAAACACAGCAGGCATTTTTGTGCAATTACTATGGACATTCAGAGGGTGCTAAGCCCTTCCCATCTGATGTTCACAACATCCTGCGGTGACCCCAGGGGGAGATGGGCAGCTTCTGTGCAGGGTGCCCAGCAGATGGAGTCCAGGATAAGAGCCCTTGAGTGCCAGGCTAATGCGTCCGAATATGATGCTCTGGGCCAGGGAGCGAGGTCTCCAAGCATCTTTTGATTGTGTGCTCCTACAATTAAAACAGCAAAAAACCCTTCCAATGACACAACATATTTCCTTCGGATGATGTGCATGCCCTATTATCAGTAACCATCAGACGCGGGGCACGCGGTAACTATCAGGCAAGAATCATCCTTAATGATCAGGGATGTACATCTCTAGTCCAGATACTCTTGATAATGTCAGCCTCTTGTGTGGGTTTTATTTGTATCCTCAGACCTGGCTACATACCAAGGGTTAGAGACCCATGACTCATTTGCTTGGTCACTTGAGTTATTAACACTGCTTTCAATCAGCGCTTTCTCTGCAGGGAAACTCTTTGAGCTACTTGTCCTTTCTGCGAGAGGCAGTTTAGTTTGGCTAAAATCAGACAATGAAAAAAAAATAAAAAATAAAATAAAATCAGACAACGTCATCGCCAAGTCCACATATCTGGGCTCACATATGTTAAAGCACATGAGCAAGGAGGGCCTTGGAAAAACCCGGTGTTCCTCCAGGACACCTCGAGAACTAGACATAACAGGTGCTGGGCTGACGTACAGATATATGAGGGTCCACCCTGTGGACACAATGTGCTTCTCGTGGGTTTAGGTACAAGTAACACCCGCAGTCATCCTGTAATCCGTTCTCATCCTGCCACAGTTCCCGGAGACTGTGCTTTGGACACCCTCAGCTCTGCACTTAGGGGAGCAGGGAAGGCTTGGGTGGGCAGGGGAGCTGGTGAAGGGACCAGTTCAGGAAGCACAGCCAGCTCAGAGGGAGGCAGGGAGACAGCTGCTGGGGAAGGGGGAGTGGGGGGGTTGGGAGAGAGCTAGGGGGGGCTCTCTGCTGCTGTGTCCGGCCAGGTGCTGATGCTCAGGCGCTGCCTGACGTGGCTGCGGGCCACGTGGCTGGCTCAGGTCCTGCCACTGGACCAGAACATCCAGTTCCACCAGTTCATGGGCTATGTGGTGATTGTGCTCTCCCTCGTACACACCGTGGCCCACATAGTGAACTTCGGTGAGTGGCCTGGGGCTGCGGGAGGGGCCCTGGGTGAGCCTTTCACAAACCCCCAGCCCTGGACACCGGGCACAGGCCCTGTGTGTCCTGGAGACCCGGTTGGGTGTGGGGGGAGTGGTATCCTGCCTAAGTCGGTGGACTGGAGGGAAGTCCCTACCTGTGGGGAGAATCTGGTGGGGAGCCCTGGGGCCCTCAGAGGAAAGGTGGACAGGGAAGATCTTGTCTTGCATTTGTCTCCAGCGCTCCAGGCTCAGGCCGAGGCCAGCCCCTTCCAGTTTTGGGAACTGCTACTCACGACGAGGCCTGGCATTGGCTGGATCCACGGCTTGGCCTCCCCGACCGGTGTGGCACTACTGCTGCTACTGCTTCTCATGTTTGCCTGCTCCAGCTCCTGCATCAGAAGGAGCGGCCACTTTGAGGTGTCCATCCTTGCCCTTTGCTATCCCAGGCTGGGCTCCCATCATTTCATGCTGCATCCCCTCTCATTTACTGCAGAGCCCAGGAAGTGCCCATCACATGCCTGTGACTTGGGTTCTGCCCTTGGGTTGTAGTGTATGTCTGCCGAGTGGAAGCTGTGTTGTTCTGGAAGACTCTGCCTTTTTGCTGGCATGCCCACCCCCACCCCCTCCCCGCCCCAGTTGGATTAAAGTAGGTTTAAACTGGCCCACTCAGCTTCCTCGTCTATCAAGTGAACCTATAATTCTCTACCTATGAAGTTATTTTAGGCATTAAATGAGATAACATATGCAAAGCCACTGACTATTCCCCTGGCACGCAGATGCTCCAGACACTTCCCCGTGTGTAGTGTCCTCAAGATGCAGGAGGTCACAGATTTGGTTTGGAGCCCCCTGGACTGATCTGGTCACATCAGATAGTCGTTTACAGAGCCCCAGCAGCAGTGCTTTGAGGGGGGAACCCGCATCCTCATTTGACCAATGAGAAGTATGACGCTCAGACCGGTGATTGCCCGGCCCATGCTCCTCCCACTTGCTCAGGCACTCAGACTCCGGCTCTGCCCTTTCTTCTCCATGCCCAGGAAATTACCGTCTTTCTTTTCTTGCCCCCCACCCACCCACCCAAAAGGGTCAGTGTGATGGGGACATTGATGCTCTTGAGCCCTTCAGCCAGGATATCCCTAGGCAGATGTTTCAGATGTTTGGTGCAAGTACCAGGAACCCTTCTATTATCCCGGGGGCCAAGCCCCCAGAATAAAGAAGCACCAGAGCTTCCCATCCCCAGCCTCCTACCCAGCCCTGTCCCCTGGAGAGGGTGTTTGACCAAGACTCTGTCTGGGTGCCGCCCTGGCTTTGAGGATGGCCCTGAGCCCTGGCCCTGTTCCACGCTCCCCCGTCTTGAGCTCTGCAAGCTTACTACTACCACCCCCCCCCCCACAGGTGTTCTACTGGACCCATCTGTCCTACCTTCCCATGTGGATTCTGCTCATTCTGCATGGGCCCAACTTCTGGAAGTGGCTGCTGGTTCCTGGCACCCTGTTCTTCCTAGAGAAGATCATCGGGCTAGCGGTGTCCCGCATGGCAGCCCTGTGCATCGTGGAAGTCAATCTGCTTCCCTCCAAGGTGCAAAGGGGAGCTGCAGGTGGTGGGGCGCAGCAGCTGGGTGTCCTATTAGACCCCCAAGGAAGTAGGGACTAGCGTAGCTAAGCCCCTGCACAGTGGAGGAGACAAGCAAAGTCCAGGATCTGGTCTAGCCTTCAGGGGTGATGTTTCAGGCAGAGGAATGACAGGTAGGCAGGATCCTGCTGCTCATGAAGCATATATGAAGAGCCTGTAAGTTGCCAGCCCTGTGCTAGGTGACAGAAACACAGAGACAGCTCAGGCACTGTCCTGCTTGGCCCTGGCATTATAGGTCAGGGCTGTGTTGTTGAGTGTAGAGCATCAGGCGGTACAAAACTATCCTTGGGAGGTCAGAGAAGGCTCCAGAAGGAGGAAGGAGATGCCCCATCAGGGTTCTGAGAGATGAGCAGGGGTTCCTTGGCTAGACAAGACAAGGAAGGGCGCTGCTGGCAGAAGGAACAGCACCAGCAAAGGCACCGAGTTGTGGGAGGGTATACCGCATTTGGGGCCTGTGGGTAATTTGGCATAGCTGGAGCCAAGGTGCCAGGGAGAAGGTGTGGGTGGGGCTTGGGGGACTGGAGGCTCCTTGCCCTACAGGCAACGGGGAGCCCCTGAGCAGGCTGGGGGAGAGTGCTATTAAGTGGGTTGGTGTTCCAGCTAGATTTCTGCAGTCACTATTTGGGAGGCTGCTGCACATGTGCAAATGAGAACTCGTGAGGGCCTTGACCTTGAATGGGTCTATGGAGTGGGGGTGGGGGCATATCACAGAAGGACTCAAGAGGTAACTGGCTACACTTGGGGGTGGGAGGTGTCTGAGTGACTGGGCCTTTTATGGAAAAAGGAAAGGCACTGCCAGGTGGGCTCACCTCTGGACAGCTGAGCATGAGGACACGGGTAGTGAGGTGCTTTATATCGAGCTCTGGCCTCAGCTAGCCGTGATTAGATTCACATCCCATGGTTTCCTAGCTGGCAACCTTGAACAAGCACCTTAGCCATTCTGAGCCTTAGCTTCTCATCTGTAACGTGGAGAGAGAATGGCATCCGTCTCAGAGAATGGCTGTGAGGACCAGAGATCACACTTCCATTTTTTTTTAAGATTTTATTTATTAGACAGCGAGAGAACACAAGAGGGAGAGTGGGAGAGGGGACAGCAGGCTCCCCGCTGAGCAGGGAACCAATGTGGGATTCCATCCCAGTACCCTGGGATCATGACCTGAGCTGAAGGCAGACGCTTAACCCACAGAGCCACCCAGGCGCCTGAGATCACACTTTCTGTGCTTCACACAGCTCTGCCAACAGTGAGTGCTCAGATACTGAAGCCGTTCTCCCAGGGGAGGTGCCATTAGTGGTTGGAATACCATCCAAATTATACAGAAGTTCCAAGCAAGGGGCCAGAGCAGCCAGGGGCTCTACAGAGAAGGAGCCACTAACAGTGGTGTTCACACCATAAGAAGTGGGATCAAGCCATGAGCCTCACTTCAGACACATTTCAGCTCTCCCTTCCTCTGCTCATCGCCCACCCCCTGGCTGGCAGATGTGCTACAGGGGGAGCCCCACTCACAGGCAAGAAGGGTCTCACGTCCAACGCTGGCCTGCCTTGTGGTGGAGGAGGATGGCTCGGGCCTCTGCCCTCTTGCCCAGGAGGCCCCTGACAGCTTTGGACCTGCAGGGATGACACGGATGACCCTGACCTTCTTCTCTCCCCAGGTCACCCATCTCCTCATCAAGAGGCCCCCTCTCTTCCACTACAGGCCGGGCGACTACTTGTACCTAAACATCCCCACCATCGCGCGCTACGAGTGGCACCCCTTCACCATCAGCAGCGCTCCAGAGCAGAAAGGTATGTCCTTCCCCCAACTCACTCAGCAGATGGTAATTTTCTGAGTTCTCCTGGGAGTCAAGCACAGGCTGGAGACCAGGAACACAGAAACGAGGAAGACCAGAGACCCAAAGCCACCCTCCAAGAACTCCCTCCAAAACCGGGAAGCAGTTGCCCAAACTCTTACTAACTAGGGAGGTCAGGGCTGTCGTGAGGATCCCATGAAGGCCGGGCATGGTTGGGTAGGTTACAAGGCTCCACAGACCTGGTGGTATAGCAGCCGAACTCTGAAGGCTTGGTTGGAGTTTACGAGATAGAGAAGGAGATGGGGGAGGAGACAGAGCGAGAAGCATAAGCAGCAGCATGGAAACCTGGGAACCATTTCTCTCTGGCTCCCCAACACCCACAGAACTGCGGACCCCCCTTCGCCCAGCAGACCTCTGGCCCCCCAGCAATGTGTGTGCCTTCCTTCTGGTCCTGGTCTGTTGGTGAAGCCAGCCCCTGGCCCTCTGCCCTCTTCCTAGGCCAGAGATTGGTCTTTCCACTTAGGTGGTCCTTCTGGCAGGGAATGCCCTACGTGGCCTTCGAGAGCAAGACCCTTGCTTGGCTTCATGAGGGGGTAAAGGGTCCTGGTTGCCTGTTTTCTCTCACCCATCCTTATGAAAAGCTCTAATTCCACTCAGGATGCCTCCCAGCCCCAACGTGTCAAGACTCCTGGGCCAGCTCCCACATTTCAGGGTGAGACCCCAGGCAAGGGTTCCCCATGTGAGGCTGCACAACACCTGCCCTGGAGCCACCTGAGTGGTGGCTTGGATGTACAACGGGGCAAAGGTGGGAGTGGTGGCGGGAGAAGGAAGCTTATTTTCTGCCTATCTTTCATTCCTGTTCTGTTTCTCAAGATCTACACTCGCAGAAAATTCAGATAGTATAGAAATATGTACAGAAGAAAATGAAAATCCCTCATAATAATTCCATCCAAAGAAAGCCGCTGTCCATCTTTTGGTGAACAGTCTTCTAGATCCATCTTTATATTTCTATGTGGCTCGTTGGCTTAGAGATAGTTTTGCATACATGGGGTCACACTGTTCACTCTGTTGTGCAGTCCACTTTTTCTCCATGAACGGTACATCATGAAGGTCTTTGCAAGTCAGTTCTTTTAGAAAAAAAACTTTTCCTAATGTAGCTGCATAGTATTCCAGTGTATTGACACGACTGTGATTACAATGACTGTGTGCACTCCGTGGAGGTGCCCTTGATTGGACCCGTTCTTCAGGCGGTTTCTTCAGGGTCTCAGCTTGGAATCAGTCTGGCTCCTGGGCCCCAAGGCTTGTGCAGTGAACTGAGTGAGTCCCTGTGAGGGCTGGTACATACCCCAACTCTGTTTACAGAGCTGGTTTCCAGAAACCAGGAGGGGACTCAGGTTGCCAGTGGTGGCTGATTGAATTCCACCAGCGTTTTAGGGAGGCCTCCTACCTGGAGTCACTGTGTGGGGCACTTCAGAGTACATTTATGTAAACAAGGCACAGTCCCCCACCCCCCACCCCCCAGCCCCACACTTGTCCCACCAAGTGGATGAGGCCTCAGAGAACCCACTGAAATTTAGCATCCTCTTCAATTGCGAATGCAGACAGGTTTCCAGTGGCCACGTAGTTCCTGCTGGATCTTGTCGTTCCATGTGTTGATAGGCACATGTGTTCTTAGATCATGTGTTTGGGGTTTTTTGTTGTTGTTGTTTTGTTTTTGCAAACACACGTGGTTTTGCGATTTCTCTATATGCTACTTGGTGTATTTAAAAATCTTACTCTGGGGATCCCTGGGTGGCGCAGCGGTTTAGCGCCTGCCTTTGGCCCAGGGCGCGATCCTGGAGACCCGGGATCGAATCCCACGTCGGGCTCCCGGTGCATGGAGCCTGCTTCTCCCTCTGCCTGTGTCTCTGCCTCTCTCTCTCTCTGACTATCATAAATAAAAAAATAATAATAATAAAAATCTTACTCTGGGGGCACCTGGGTGGCTCCGTGATTGAGCATCTGCCTTCAGCTCAGGGTGTGATCCCCGGGTCCTGGGATCAACTCCCTCATCGGGCTCCCCACAGGGAGCCTGCTTCTCGCTCTGCCTGTGTCTCTGCCATTCTCTCTCTGTCGCTCATGAATAAATAAAAATAAAATCTTTACAATTAAAAAAAAAAAACCCTTACTCTGAGAAGGAACTTCTCTTTTGTAATCATGGAACGGCCAAAAGAGTCTATGGTTTAAAATTTTTTAAAAAGGGCAAGAATGGGCAGCCCTGGTGGCTCAGCGGTTTAGCGCCGCCTTCAGCCCAGGGCATGATCCTGGAGACCCAGAATCGAGTCCCACATTGGGCTCCCTGCATGGAGCCTGCTTCTCCCTCCGCCTCTCTCTCTCTCTCTCTCTCTCTCTCTCTCTCTAATAAATAAATAAAATCTTTAAAAAATAAAATAAAATAAAAAGGGCAAGAATGCCCAAGCAGGAGATCCCCTTGGGGGGCCTCCTTGCTCTAATGCTGTGGCTTCTCTCCAGTGCCCTTCAGCAGAGGGGTAGCTACACCGCCTCTCTGCCCAGTTTTCCGTTCAGCAGAGAACCTGAACAAGCACCTGTTTTGTCCCAGGCACTGGGCACAATGAAAGCCATTGGTCCCACCCCAAACTGAGCACCTCCAGGGTGCAGAGCCATTGACAAGCATCTGGTTGAATGTGGGAGGGAGTGGTCGGTCTCTGCCTTGGGGAGACCCTGGCCCGGTGATGAAGGAGGCAGGGACACTCTGACCCCATCTTAGCAGAGGAGACCGAACCCTTACTCTGTAGGTTTAAGTTGGCTTCCTAGAGAAAGACCACAGTGTTTGTACCTGAGAGATGAGATTTCCAGCTCCCGTGGCTGTGACCCCTACTGTGGGCCTAAGCAAGGCCTAAGTCTGGGGCTTGAGTAGTTCATGCCCAGCTCCAACCCTTCAGGTGAGACAGGCTGGCTCCATGCTGGAGGCCAGCACCAAACCCCCAACCCCCTGCCCTGTCTCTTGCTCAGACACCATCTGGCTACACATCCGGTCTGAAGGTCAATGGACCAACAGGCTGTATGAGTCCTTCAAGACATCATGCCCCATGGACTGTGACCCCAAACCACTGTCAAGGAATTTGAAGATGAGGAGGAGCCAGAGGAGGCCGGAGGTAGGTTGCTTTGGGGGAGGAAGGGTCCACCGTGGAGAGAAACCCAACAGGGACTATGTTGCTGTCTTCTCAGCTGGTGAGCATCCATCATTGAGCAACTGCTGTATACGCTGACTGGATGGCCGCACAGGGGGTGAGGCAGCTATGAACTAACTATGTGATCCAAGAGCCTGACCATCCCAGGTCCTCCTGAGTCCCGTGTACTCTATTAGAAGCCAGGGGGGGGATCCCTGGGTGGCTCAGCGGTTTGGCGCCTGCCTTTGGCCCAGGGCGCGATCCTGGAGACCCGGGATCAAATTCCACGTTGGGCTCCCAGTGCATAGAGCCTGCTTCTCCCTCCGCCTATGTCTCTGCCTCTCTCTCTCTCTCTCTCTGTGACTATCATAAAATAAATAAATAAAATTTTAAAAAAAAAAAAAAAAAGAAGAAGAAGCCAGGGGGACGTTGGAAAGAGATCCGAAAAACCCATCTCCATGTCTTTGCTCCAGCACATTCTGACTGTTAGGCCTGGCACATCCTTTGCCTCACCGAGCTTTAGCTTATTCATCAATGAACTGGAGGTGGTCCCCCTCCTTGGCCTCCGTTTCTTAAACGCTTCTTTTAAGGATCGGTGATAGAATAATGCATGTAAAGTACTGAGCTGATCGGACAGCATGGTCCACGTGGACCCTCATCATCACCATTAGCAGCATCAGCGGCGGCATCGTTATCTTTTGAACCCCAACGAAACCCACAAAGCTGCCAAGTTGTCAGTGTCCAGAATGGATACAGGCCCTGGGAGGTTTGGGAAGAATACAGCAAGGTCACAGTAAGGATAGACAGAGTAGGCTGAAGGTACCTGGACACAGAGCTAGTAAACCGTACTGCTCCCCTGGGAGGCACGTTAATATGGGGAAGCTCTGGCCAAGGTCAAAGAGAAGATGCCCCAGGTCCAGCTCAGCCCTTGTGGAATTTAAAGTCCAGGGGAGACGAGAGGCAGGCATCCATCTAGAAAGACGCCAAGAGCAAAGCTTTGGGAAAAATGAAAGGGTAGGTGGAAACAAGCAGGTTGTTCTCTGCTTTTAATCTGGGGAAGAAGGAAGCTGGCTTGTCAAACCAGATGAGTCCTACACCTGAATCAGCGGGTAGATATGTTAAAGACTCTGTTTCTTTGGGACTTTAGGGACCACCACCAAAGAATAAGTTAGCGCAGTCTTTCTGGCAGGCAGTCTGGCCACAGGAGTCGGCATCTTAAATATGCCTACCCATTGGCCCGGCCATTCCATCCTTAGGGCTTTGTCCTAAAAAGCAAATTGGACAGTTGCACAGGAAGTATGTTAATCACCTTGTTCATTCATTCATCTAACAAACATTTAGTGAGCGTAACACTTACTGTTTCCCAAGTACTAGTCTAGATGCCGGAGATATATCAGTAAGCAAAACGAACGCAGTCCCTGCCCTACCTTCTGGAGAGAGAGGTAGACAATAAACAAACAATATACATGCATAATGTGCCAAGTGATAATAAATGCTACGAAGAAAAATAAATCAGGGTAAAGAGATAGAGACAGGAGAGTTGCTATTTTATATATGCTTGTTGTTCACAGTAATGAGAAAGTGGGAATGATCAAAATGCCCAACCAACAGGGGTGTAGCTAAATAAATTACTGATCACCCTTATCATGGAATAGTAAGTCCCTAAAAATATTATGTAAATGTATATGCATTAGCATGGAAAGCTAGTCAAGATACTAAGTGGAAAAGACAGATTACAAAGAAATATATTTCATTTATGTAAATGTGTGTGTGTGTGCGCGTGTGTGTGTGTGTGTAAGTATGGAAGGACATAGAAAAATGTTTAGAGAAGCTATTCTACTTTATTCAGGGTACTTTTTGCTTTATCCTTTCAAGTCCTGTAACATGTGAATCTTTAAAAACTTACGTGTACTGGGGCACCTGGATGGCTCAGTGGTTGAGCGTCTGCCTTTGGCTCAGGTCGTGATCCTGGGTCCTGGAATTGAGTCCCACATTGGGCTCCCTGTAGGGAGCCTGCTTCTCCCTCTGCCTGTGTCTCTGCCTCTCTCTGTGTCTCTCATGAATAAATAAATAAAATCTTTAAAAATAAAAAAAGAACTAACATGTTCTAATTTCATGATTTAAGTAATAAAGCAACTTCCATTTCAAAACCAGAGTTTGGAGCACCAGGACATCCATTCGGGAACCTCGGTACAGGGAGCAGTGGCCTACAGCAAGGATGTCACTGTGGAACTGACATCCTACAGGCCCAAGGGAACTGCACAGCAGGGGGACCAAGGCCTAGTATCCACGGCAGTGACAAAGAAAGGGGCTCAGGCACGGTGGAGAGCCATAGCCGAGCCAGGCCAGGTAAGGCTGCGGAGACGGGGGCTGGAGATGGGGAGAGCCCATGTTTGTCTCCCCATGGGTGGAAAGTCCTTGGAACCCAGAGGAGAGGTCCTTATGGGCAGGCCACACCAGGAAGCACTGCACATTATTATGTGGTGCCCCTGCACCCAAGCATGGGTGTGCCCCTTCCATAACTATTGCCATAGTCGCACCCTATTGAGGTGAGACTATTGCCTGCCTACCTGGCCTCTCTCTTTCCTCCCCAGCATCACTTTAAATGAATTGTATTAAAAGGATGCTTGAGCTTGCTGTTTTTAATGGGAACTTAGTAGCATGTGCTGTAATCAGAAGATAACTTGAAAAGGGGTGGGACTGGTAAATGTTACGTGTCAAAGATTGCTAACCATGACGTGGGTTTTCCCCATGCAATCAGAAGGCTTAAAGAGAACAGAAAGGAGAGTAGCCCTTGTCCGGTGTACCTCCTACACCGCTAGTTCAAGTCTGACACCTCCTCTGCAAGGACGCAGCATGCAGGGGCCCCCAAACAAAGAAGCAATGTGCTGTCATGCGATGAGCACTGGACGGTCAGCAAGAGACCCAGGCTCTACCCTGAGCATTTTGGGAACTTGGGCAAGTCATTCTCAACACTGTCAAGCTGGGTTCCTTTTTGGCGAAGTGGGGGATTACTCTGGATGATTGTGAAGGTCACTCCTAACTCTGCCTCCCAGCACCAGACAGAGAGTTATCCCAGGCCCCTGCAGCCTGTTTGGGAGGATCTGCTTCCTTCAACTTCTGGAAGGAAGTGCACTGACGTCCCAAATGCAGTCTGCCAAGTGCCCAGGCCCGGAAAGGAGGCCTGCTCCCTGCTCTCGGTGGCTCCCATCAGGAAGCCCAGGACAGAGTGCCAGGGGCAGGGTGAAGCTGTGAGCCAGGCCAGCCACTGGCTTTTCTGCCTGGTGCAGCTGGGCGCAGCTGTAAGGAGGAACAGATGCTTCAGCTGAGCTGGGTTCTGAAGGATGCACGGGAATTTGTCAGCTGCGGAAGAGGAAAGGGTCTTTAAGCCAAGTGGGGGTGGGGAGAAAGTTATGGGAGTGGCTGGAGACTGGGGGGAGTGAGCATTCATTCTCCAGTCACCCCTTGAAGCTGACTGCATTGGACCACAAGAGCCAATTGCTAGATTTTCAGGAGCCTTGAGAGCCAATTATTAGACACAGTCATTACGGTGGAAACCACGATGGCAGTATTTACACCAGAAATCTCTGGACACTACCAGTCAGGATTTTGGTGTTGTCTTCTTTTTCTGAGAAGTCAGTTTGCCAGCACGCCACTGATCTTCTCCCTCAAAAGGACTCCAAGCTCCCTGGAATGCTTGGGGCAGGAAAAACAATTCCCTTTTTGTACAGTTGCCCAGAGTGGCAAGGGCTGGATTGCCTCTGAGAATGACCTGATGCGCGCATTCCCAGAGGCCCACGGCTCTCTGCTCCCCACAGGTCTCTGAGAAGTCCTCTGAGAACCACCTGTTTTGTAACATCAAGGTAAGAGGCTCCCATGGCTGAGCATGACCAAGGACCCTGCTTCAACCAGAGGAAGAGAAGCCTCTGCTTACAGAGAGGGCTTGCTGTGACCCCAGGGACCCCAGTCCCTCAAGTCCCCAGGTGTCCAGAGAAGGGGACCAAACCTGTCCCCTCGCAGGTGCTGGGTCCCACCGTCCCCAGTTCTGCCTTCTGACATTCCAGGGCTCTTCCAGACTTGACCTCTGAGCACTACAGCGGGAGCCACTTAGGCTTGGGCTGCAGCCCAGGAGGGCTGCTGAAGCCTTGGGGTCCGGCTTTCCCCAGGCACCCAGCCCTCTCTCCTCCAATGCTCTCCCATCCACAGTGCTACATTGACGGCCCTTACGGAACCCCCACCCGCAGGATCTTTGCCTCTGAGCACGCAGTGCTCATTGGCGCGGGCATTGGCATCACCCCCTTTGCTTCCATCCTGCAGAGCATCATGTACAGGTGGGCGGACAGGCTGCCACCCCTGCCTGAATCCTGGGGAGCCCCCCTTCTCCCCTCACCCTTGTTCCCCTCTTCTCTCCTGTCACCCTTTCTTCTCTTTCTTGCTCTGGCCTTCCTCCCTCTCTCTTTTGGCTCTCAATCCTCCCCTTCCTCATAGGGTGGGCCCTGCTACCCTGCCCCTTCCCCCCATCCCCTGCATTGTTCTTTGGGGTCCTGAGAAGACTCACTCATGGCCTCCCCTCAGGCACCAGAAGAGGAAGAACATTTGCCCCAGCTGCCAGCACTCCTGGATGGATAGCGCCCAGGATGAGGACATGAAGCTCCACAAGGTGAGTGCCACCTCCTATAGGAAGGCCTCTGGACCCTCTCCCCTGGAAGAGTAGGCTCTCCTGTGCAGATGCAGGGGAGAGACGGATGGAACAACTGGTCCCTATGCTTCCCTTAACACCCCATGTTCTCCTCGTGCCTCCCAAGTGTCCAGGCCTCCCCTTGCACCTCTGAGAGGCAGCCTGGGCCCTGAAGATGGAGTCCCAGTAAAGACCTTCGGAGCCTGCAAGTCAGGCAGCTGGGATCCGGTTATAGCCGTGATGTGTACTAGCCATCACCTGCTGGTAGTTTTAAAAATGAAAACGTTTGCCTTTTGAAAATTCATTATTTTGTATAGGCCACTTAAAAGAGCTTCTCTTCTGGCTCTTCCTGAGCTTAATAGTTGAGAACACTGCTTACTATGAACATTAGGTTATTGCAGAAAATCCTGACCTGACAGTCAGGAACCTGGGTCCTGATCCCATGCTGCTCTGTGACCTGGGCAAGTTTCCTACCTCTGCAAGTCTGTGTCACCATCTGTTAAATGGGGGTGATAATGCGTGTCCTGCCAACACCAGGGCAGTCATCCAGGTGCTGAGCATCACAGACGTGAGCATGCTATGAATGAGGCTGGCTCACTCTGAACAGAAGGGCCCCTCTCCCCAGGTGGACTTCCTGTGGATCAACCGAGACCAGAGATCTTTCGAGTGGTTTGTGAGCCTGCTGACCAAACTGGAGATGGACCAGGCCGAGATATCACAAGAGGGTAGGAAAGGAACCGGGCCTGAGGAAGATGGCAGCAGGGCGGGGCTCAGGGTCTTTGTAAGAGGGTGTTTAGATTATTCCATTTCTATCAAAAACGAGGGAGAGAGGAATGCTTTTTCTTTCCCCACTAAAATGTAACATGTGTCAAACCAAAAAAAGAAGAGAAAGAGGTATTCATAATTTCATCCAGCTATCCAAAGCATTCCAGGTATTTTAAAGGATGTCCTGGTATTTTTTTCTTATTCACATTTTACAAAAACATAATTTTTTTTTCTAATTTCCCTCTTTTGTGGCATTTTTTTTTAAGTCACGATGAATACCTGATGAAAGTTTAGATTCCCAGGCCTCATCTCAGACTTCCAAATCGGGGTCTCTGAGAGCAGGGCCCAAGAATGTGCTTTTTTTTTTTTTTTTTTAGTTATTATTCATTCGAGAGAGAGCGAGAGCACGTGCGCATGAGCAAGGGCGAAGGCAGAGGGACAAGCAGACTCCCTGCTGAGGGGGGGGTCTCCATCCCAAGACGCTGAGATCATGACCCGAGCCAAAGGCAGAGGCTGAACCCACTGAGCCACCCAGCCATCCCTCCCCAGGAATGTACATTTTAACGTGCTTTCAAATGACTCCTATTCACACTTTTTTTTTTAGTTTTTTAAGGAATAATTTATATACCATAACATTCGCCAATGCAAGTTTACATGAATACAATGACATTATGACAAATGTGTACAGCGGTGTAACCACCGCTACACAGTAAAAATATAGAGCATTTCTATCATCTGCCAAGGTTTGCTCATCCTCCTTTGGCATCATCTCCTCCCCCCCATGTGCAGCTCCTGGCACCCCCGGATCTGCTTTCGATCACTACAGCTTTGCCCCTTCTAGACTCTCCTGTAAGTGGAATCATGTAATATGCAATGTTTTCTAACTTCTTTCCCTTAACGTAATACCTTTGAACTTCCCCATGTTGCTGCATGTATTAGTAAGTGGTTCGTTCTTCTGCAGTGTTCTATTTTATAGATATACCAAAATCCCTTTTGCCACTCACTTGTGAGAGGATGTTAGAGTTAGTCCCACTTTTCAGCCATTTGGAAGAAAGCTGCTCTATCTGCCTGTAAGTGTGGACATATTTGCCAGGTAGTGTGGTCTGTGTTAAGTTTAACTTTCTAAGGAGCAGCCACACTGGTTTTCCAAAGTGGCTGTACCATTCTGTGTTTCCATCAGCATTGGACGAGAGTTCCAGTTGCTCTGCAGCCTTGCCAACATTTGATATTGGCAGTCTCTTACGTTTCAGCCAATCTAGTGGGAACATAGCAGTATCTCAATGTGCTCTCTCTTTTTTTTTAAAGAATAGTCTTTTCATTTTTTTTAAGATTTTATTTATTTATTCATGAGAGACACAGAGAGAGGCAGAGACACAGGCAGAGGGAGAAGCAGGCTCCATACAGGGAGCCCGACGTGGGACTCGGTCCCGGGACCCCGGGACCCCGGGACCCCGGGATCATGCTCCGAGCCAAAGGCAGACGCTCAACCTCTGAGCCACCCAGGCGTCCCTCAATGTGTTCTTAATTTGCATTTCCCTAACAACTAATGATGCTGAACATGTTCTCATGTTATTTGCAGTTTATGCATTTTTGAAGTGTCTGTTCAAATATTTTGACCACTCCTTTGCCTTCTTTTTTATTAAGTGGTAAGAGTTCCTTACATATTCTGGAAGCAGGTTCCCTGTCAGGTGCACATTTGACATATACATTCTATAAGTCTGTGGTTTATCTTTTCATTTTCTTAAATTGCCTTTTGAAGGGCAACATTTTGAATGTCAGTGTTGTCCGGTTTATCAGATTTTTTTTTCTTTTTTTTCTTTTTTTTTTTTAATTTTTTTTAAATTTTTATTTATTTATGATAGAGAGAGAGAGAGAGAGAGAGGCAGAGACATAGGCAGAGGGAGAAGCAGGCTCCATGCACCGGGAGCCTGATGTGGGATTCGATCCCAGGTCTCCAGGATCGCGCCCTGGGCCAAAGGCAGGCGCCAAACCGCTGCACCACCCAGGGATCCCAGATTTTTTTTTCTTTTATTCTTCATCCTTTTGTGTCCTAACATCTTTGCCTCACCCACGGCCATGAGTATTTTCTCTTATGTTTTTCTTCTAGAAGTCTTGTAGTTTTAGCTCTTCATTTCAATCAGTCTCCATAGTGAATTCCACAAGGCATAGGATATTAGGTCACAAAATCAATTGTATTCCTGTGTACTAGCAACAGATAATTAGTAATGAAAAACTTTAAATAAAGAGTTTAAAAACATGAAATACTTAAAGATAAATTTAGCAAACTAAGAGCAAATGTGTACACTGAAAACTACAAAACAGTTCTGAGAAATGGTTTTCTCTATGTGTTTCTTATATTTGTAATTCATTGAATTTCTGGGATGGATGGGCTTGTAATTTTCATCAAATTTGAGCAAATTTGGGTCTCTTCTATGTTTTCCATTTCTCTCTCCATTTTATCTGCTTTCTTTTATTTTTACATTCTCTCACCCACTCTTTTAGTATCTCTTGTGATAGGTTTGCCTAAATCCATCATCTCTGTTGTTTCTTGGTCTGTTTCTAGTGACTAAATTTTCTTCAAGTTCTGGAACATATTCTCTACCTCTTTGCATGCCCAATAACTTTTTTTGGATGTCAGGCATTGAAACTGCACGTTGTGTGTTCTGGATTTTGTGGTATTGCTTTACATAGCACTGTGCCTTGTTCTGGCACACATTTATATGACTTAGGAGAATTGGGATCCTTTCAAGACTTGCTTTTAACTTTTGTTAGGGTGCGTGTGGAGCAGGTGTCAGCATAGGGCGACACCTCTGAGGGTTCTACCCACTCCCCTGAACATTACAAGCTGTCTCCACTCTTGCTGATGGAAACACAAATTAACCCCAGCTCTGTTGGAGCTCCTAGTACTGTTAAGCCTAGTGTTTTCTGGTAATTTTCTTTCGTATATGTATTGATAAACACTCAGCCAAAGACTTAGGGGAAATTTTATGTGGATTTTCAGAACTAGGGAGCTCCTGCCTCCTTCCTTCTCTCCCTTCTTCCCTTCCTCTTTCTCTCCTGTTCCCCTTGCTCTTTTCTGTGCATTTTCCTTTTCTCAGTTTTATGACTGGCAAATCCCGGCTGCCTTGTGACTTCTTAATGCAGTGAGACCAGCACCAGGCAGTAAGCTGGGGTTCACTTCATCTGTTTCTCTCTCTCAACGACTACAGTTCTATGCTGCTTGATCACGTGTGTCTGGAAAACATAGTTTCGTATACTTTGTCTATTTTTCTAGTTGTTTAAGGTGGGAAGGTAAATATGATTCTTTTTCCTCCAACATAACTTTTTTAAAGATTGATTTATTTGTTTTGAGAGAGAGCGAGCATGCAAGCAAGGGGAGGGACAGGGAGAGAATCTCTAGCAGATTCCCTGCTGAGCACAGAGCCTGATGCGGGGGCTCGATCTCATGGCCCAGAGATCATGACCTGAGCCGAAATTAAGTCGGATGCTCAACTGCCTGAGCCACTCAGAAACCCCTCCTACATAAATTTTTAATGTACATTGTCTGCTAGTAGAGATGAACAAGTGAAGAAGCATAGGTGCTGATTGGTAATGAATGCTCAATATTTGTCCTCTGAGGTGGCAGGGAAAAAAAGTGTAGAGAATGCTTTAAGGTAAAAGTTAAACAACCTAACACGTACGAATTCTTTTCCCGTTTGGTCCCTTCTTTTACACTTTTATCAAAAATGAATGTTTGGGGGCACCTGGGTAGCTCAGTGGTTGAGCATCTGCCTTTGGCTCAGGGCATGTTCCAGGGGTCCAGGATAGGGTCCCGTATTGGGCTCCCTGCATGGAGCCTGCTTCTCCCTCTGCCTCTGCCTCTGCCTCTGCCTCTGTCTCTGCCTCTCTTTCTCTCTCTCTCTCTCTCTCTGTGTGTGTGTGTCTCTCATGAATAAATAAATGAAATCTTTTTATTTTAAATGAACATTTTGGGCAGCCCAGGTGGCTCAGCGGTTTAGCGCCTGCCTTTGGCCCAGGGCGTGATCCTGGAGACCCGGGATCGAGTCCCACGTCGGGCTCCCTGCATGGAGCCTGCTTCTCCCTCTGCCTGTGTTTCTGCCTCTCTCTTTCTCTGTGCCTCTCATGAATAAATAAATAAAATCTTTTAAAAATATAAAAAAATAAAAATAAATAAAAATAAATAAAAATGAATGTTTTGAATGTCCTCCTCCAGCCCCAGTCTCTCCCTCCCACCCCTAAGGGTTGCTGCTTACATCCTGTGCTAAGCCAAGGCTGAATCTGTATGATATCATGGTTCTCTGGGTTCCATCTTGGTCTTCACAGGACATCTTTATGGAACACTGAGGTTTTATTTTATTTTATTTTATTTGAGATTTTATTTTATTTATTCATGAGAAACACAGAGAGGAGAGAGAGAAGCAGAGACATAGGCAGAGGGAGAAGCAGGTTCCATGCAGGGAGTCTGATGCAGGACTCGATCCTGGGTCTCCAGGATCATACCCTGGGCAGAAGGCAGGCCCTAAACCCCTGAGCCCCCCGGGCTGCCCATGAACACCGAGGTTTTATACTGTGTTTTAAAGTAAATCTGTTAGAATCATTGTTTTGTTTTACTTCTGGAATAAGTAATATGAGGAGGAATATCTTTAGATATATTTCTAACTTTAGAGAATTGGTGGGTTTTTTTAAATACTTGTTGAGTTCAATGGAATCAGATCTTATTTGGCTGTTTAATTATCCTACAGCTGCCATGAGTGAGTTTAAATTCCTATGATAAATAGTTTCTAAGTTCAAGTAATCAAACACAGTTTTGTGTAAGAAACATTCAAACAGGCATAGTTAATTATAACAAACATTCAGAGCCCTAAAGCACGAGTCAACAGTATTTGACACAGAATTGGTAAACTTTAGAATGTTGCAATAAAGCTCCTTGCCCTTTCTTATAAATAACAATTATAGCAAATATTTATAGAACCTCCACTTTGTTCTAAATGCTTTTATGTATATTAATTCACTAGAAACTCAATTTTATGATGACAAGTTTGGGGGGGAAGTTTAGATTTCATTTAAGTTTCCTGGTTACTGGTATATAAATATTTGCAATTTGCTTCTTCCTAATCTGTATAAACAAAGGGTAACAGTGAACCCGGTGCTTTGCATTCTCAAAGCCACTTGAGTCAACAACTTTATTACCTCAAATTTCTTCCAAGGTTTTTCATTAACTGCAACAGAAGCTCATGACTTCTGATTTCAACTTTTAATTATTTACCAAAGTTTGAGTTCAAGAATTCGTGGTTTATTGCTTTTAATTTCTACAGCTTAAGCTTCGAACATTCTGTTTGCGCTTGAATCTTTATTCCATCCCATAATAGCTATCGAAACTTGGGGACATTATCTAACTGCTTTGCTTCGATTTCCTCATGTGAAAAATATGTATGTAACTAGTACCCACCTCATAGGGTTGTCATGGGTATTCAATGAGATCATCTGTGCAGCACACAAAACTGTGGCTGGAACTTAATAGCTGCTCAGTAAATTTAGCAGCATCAGTAGTAATAGTAATAGTAGCAGTAGTAGCAATAGTAGTAACAATGGTAGCAGTAGCAGTAGTGTCAACAGTAGCTATAGAAGCAATAGTAGCAGTGGCAGTAGTAGCAATAGTCATAATAGTAGTTGTAGCAATAGTAGCAGCGGTAGTGATAGTAGCACTAACAGTAATAGTAGTATTAACAGTAGGAACAGTAGTACTATCAGTAGTAACAGTAACAGTAATACTAACAGTAGTAGTAGCAGTAGTAGTAATAGTATCAACAGCAATAGTAACAGTAGCAGTGGTAGCAATAGTAGTAATAGCAGTAGTAGCATCTGCCTTTGGCTCAGGGTTCATATTCCAGGGGTCCATGATTCCAGTAGTAGCAATAATAGTGGCAATAGTAGTAGCAGCAGCAGTTGTAGTATTTTTTTTTCTTTTTTTAAAAGGTTTTATTTATTCACAAGAAACACAGAGAGGAAAGAGAGAGGCAGAGGGAGAAGCAGGCCCCATGCAGAGAACCCCACGTGGGACTCGATCCCAGGTCTCCAGGATCAGGCCCTGGGCTGAAGGTGGCGTTAAACCACTGAGCCACCCAGGCTGCCCAGCAGTCATAGTATTTAATGACTATATAATGAATGACACAGTTAGTGGTCTGCCGTGCTCCAACTACTGGACATTTTATTTGTTTCTGTTTTCTCCACTCTCATATATAAAGCTGCAATTAATCTGTATGTGCACCTAGTTTATTTCCCTCCTTTGGATGATTTACTTCAGAGACTTTTCCAGAAATGGAATGAATGTCTCAAACACTACAGATTTGGAGAGGGTGGAACCCAGCTCATTCTCCAGAGCTCCTCCTCTCCGCCCCACCATGGTGTCACTCTCCCTCCCCTCACCCCCTCTCTGGGGGATGGGGACTCTGAGGAAGGCGAAAGAAGGGGGGGCCCTCTCAGGCAGGTGTCTCTATGGTACCTCTTGTTCCCTCCCAGCCACCCAGCCCTGCTCAAGTTAAGTGATATGTGAAATAAAAGGTGTTTTCTTCCTAGAGCCATTTGCATTTTAACAGTGACTGAGACCTTGAGCCACAGGAAAAGAGGGCCAATGGCAGCACAGGAGACAGTAGAGAGCCAGCTGGGATGGCCTGAACACTTTAGTCTTGGGAGAGGAGAAGGATGAAGCTTGTGGACCCCACGTCCCAGATCAGGCCCCATCATTTCCAGCTGGGATCGATGCACAGGTGGAAGGTGGCACTTTGCCAGCCTTTTCCTGTCATGGCACACGTGGAAAATGGTAACATTTGTATGCCATGTCAGGGAAAACGGGGGAAGCTGCTTGAGCACTGAGGTGCCCAGCAGGGAGCTCCAATCACCCCGAGAGCCAAAGGGATCAATGTCTCAGCAAACTCATCCCATTGCAGGCACTGGGCTGTGGACACTCACCAGTATCCAGGCCTGTGTCCAGGCAGATCCAGACCAATCTCTGCCCTGTCCCTCCTGTCCTCTGGCTCCCCTTCTGGGATGCTGTTCTCATCCTGCCACACCCTGCTCCAGTCCCCACTACCTGCCACCACTTGCCAGCTGGGCAGTCAAGGCCTTTCACATTGGGCCTCAATGTGTGTCCGGTCCCATCTCCCATCTCCTGTTGCTCCTGTGCAAGGATCCGTGTTCCAGGCAGGCAGTCCCATCACGCCCCACAAACACCATGTCGGTTCCAGCCTCTCCTCCTTGGCTCCTCTGCTCCCCCTTCTCAGCATGCCCTCCTTTCACATACCCCACTCCAGCTTTGAATCCTGCCCCTCTCCCAAGACTGACCCCTGTCCCCACCCTCCCAGGAAGCAGGTCCGTCTGCTCCAGCCCTTCCCTGTAGATCAGTAGCATTGGCCATCTGACCCGCTCATTCAACCTTTGACCTTTTAGTCTCGGTCACCTTTTCAGGTGCACGTGGCCTGTGTGCCCAACCAGACTAAACAGACGCCATAAGATGTGAAAAGGTATGAGCTTCAGAGCCCAAAGACTGCTATGCTGCTAGGAGGGGATGCATTTCCCCTCCTAGTCCTGAGGTGGTTTTGGGGTGCACGTCAGACAGAGGTCACACAGTCACTGCCTACGCCTTGCACAGAGTAGGCTCTGATCCAGCGGTGGGCCATCCTTCCTTTCTAAAGCATTGGTCACTTGGAGGTTGCAAAAAGCACAGTGGGCTCTGAGCACTCTTAGTCTCTCTCCAAGCTCTGGGGTAGGGGGCTGACATCCTGCCATGTCCCCATTATAGGCGTGAACCCCTCAGTGTCACCTTCTCCCACCACACAGGCCCCTTCCTGGAGCTGCATATGTACATGACCTCTGCACTAGGCAAGAATGACATGAAGGCCATTGGCCTGCAGATGGCCCTCGACCTCCTGGCCAAGAAGGAGAAGAAGGACTCCATCACGGGCCTCCAGACACGCACCCAGCCTGGGCGGCCTGACTGGAACAAGGTAAAGGCCTGCTAGGACCAGCGGGGCTGCGAGCCTAAGGCAGTGGCTGGGGCAGTTAGGACCAAGCAGCTCAGGGCCAAGCATGAGACCAGCATCCCAGGTCCAGCCAGGATCACTGGCGCCATCACTATCTCACCTTGTTCCATCATTGGGCTCAGTTTCCCTCTGTTCAGAGAGAAAGTTAGCCAGTTGGACCTCCTAGGCCTCCCCCCGCCCTGATTCCCTATGAACCAGGGTCAGAAGGCCTGAGTAGACGGGGTCTACTGAATACTTACCAATCAGGGTGCAGTTTGCGTGAGGAGCCAGAAGGTACTGCTTTTCAATCTGCTGGCGATAATCATGCCCAGGTGGTGAGGGGACAGGACACCACTGATGCCTGGGCACCAAAGAGGGATTTTAGCAATGTCCTCCTTAAGCAGAATTTGGGGTGGAAATGGGTCTTCACTGGCAAAAAAGCTGGACTTTAGGAAAGAGGCATTTCAATGGAGGCAGGTGACCGGTGGACGATTAGCACGAGGTCTGGGCAGTTGGGGTTCAGCGTGCCCACGGGGCCCTGTAGCTGCCCTCCAACGCTCCCTGCAGACGTGCTATAGGAGTGGAGGGCCTGGGTCTTTCTGGTCCAGCCCCTTCCCGGGGTCTGGGTCAGGTCAGGCGTTGAGCACATGGCTCCTTAACGGAAGGCGACGTGTTGGACCCTCCGCTCTGAAGCCAAGCCTTGGAGCTCCTGGTGGGGACAGAGGGCCATCACTGCCACCCCTTACGTTGTCAGCTCCGGGTGGGTGTGTCCCCGAGCAGCTCCGCAGCCTCACTGGCTCCCCTCTGCTCTCTCCTGACCCTGTGTGGGCCCCAGGTGTTCCAGAAAGTGGCTGCTGAAAAGAAGGGCAAGGTGCAGGTCTTCTTCTGTGGTTCCCCAGCTCTGGCCAAGGTGCTCAAGGGCCACTGTGAGCAGTTCGGCTTCAAGTTCTTCCAAGAGAACTTCTAGCCTCATCTCTCCCAGTTCTCCCAAGCCCACATTGCCGGCCAACTTGATCCCATCGCCCCAGTGCCCCACAGAGGCCAGCCTCAGGAGCCACCTGGTCCTGCTCCACACACACAGCAGGAGCACCCAGGCCAGGTGCACCTCCTTCAGGACCCTGGGGAAAAGCGGGTGGCCTGGGCCCTGTGCTGCTGTGCACTCTGGGGTTGCTGAGAAACTGAGGGGGGGGTGCTTCCCAGGCCACTGCTCCTCCGAAAAGTCCTCCGAGGGAGCCTTCCCCTACAACAGTGGTCCGCCACCTGCCAAATCATTCGGGATTTTTATCCCAACATTTTATTTTATTTTTCCATGCATCCACGTATCTTGTTTTTCTGATGCATTTCCAAGCCCGCTTTGCCCGTCTGAGGAGCGTCCTTTACGTGCACACTCCTGGGTCCCGCTCACAGCAATTCTGATTGTGAAGTTCTGGAGGCGAACCCCGGAAAATGTATTTTATTCAAAACCCATCCTCTTAGGATGAGATGAGCACCAGATTTCCCACCTCTCTCTCTCTGTCACCATCTCCCTATCTGTGTCCCTTCCCACCCCGCATCGCTCCCCCTGCCTCTCTCTGCCTCTCCCCTGCCTGCGTGTGTCCCCTGGTGTCCCTTCCCAGCTCCACGTGTTGGTTTCTCCCTTGTCCCCATGCCCTGAGTCATCAGAGGAACAGGTAGGAGACAGTCTGTGGCTGCGTCCACCTGAGGGGGACACAGGAGAGCCATGCACCTGGAAACCTCGTTGCTTGAAGCTCAGCTGAGCCACACGGCTGTGGTGCAGCCCTGGAAACCTCTCCGCGACTGACTCTTCATCTGAGAAATGGCACTGGTGACATCACCCGGTCACAGTTGTCATGAGAGCAAAATGGGACGTCGATGCTCAGGACATACATCTTCCATCCCCGCATGGCTCTCTGTGTCTCTGCACCTCGTCCCTAGGCAGCCTTTGTCTCATCTGTCACTGTGTGCTGGAGTACCTGGCAGGGACAGCGAAAGCCCAAGTTCTCCTGTGAGACACTGTGTGGAGGGCGGGGGGGGGGGGGGCTGGCCTTGCTGCTCGGATTTGAGCTGGGGGGTCCCGCCTGCCCCACACCGCGAGCCCCTGGGAACCCCCAAGGTCCTGGGCAGCCTCCACTCTGCAGCCTGTCCTGCTAGTTAGTTCTTTCTCTTGTGTGGGAGCCTAAACCACTCCACCCGAAACCCACTTTGGGGAGGGGGAAGGGGGGCTTCGAATGCTGCACTTTCCCATAGAATCACAGATTGTGCCTTTCTTTTGTGTGGATTGGAAGGCCCAGAAGGGGAACAGGTAAAGGAATTGGGTGAGGAGGACACCCCTTATATAGATCTGGGCATCCACAGGGGGAGCTGGGACCCAGATGAGGGGGCGGTGTGCAGAGGGTGAGCGGAGAGGGCCGAGGGAGGCATCCTGCGGGGAAAGTTGTCTTCACAGAGCAGCAGCGAGAGGAGGGGATGGTGGCGGAAGGAGTGGAAGGACACCCTGGGGGAGAGGGCACAGTGGTCCTTGAGGACAGAGGCAGTGGGAGAAAGGACATCGGGTGCAAGAAGCAGGAGGAGCAGGAGCACGAGTACGAGAGAAGGAGGGGCCCAGCTGGCAGCCCCACAGGGAAGCACTGGGTGCAGAGGGCGGGGAGGAGGGGACCCAGGCCCCCCTGAGCCCCTCCTTGCTGGAAGCCTGCACACCTGGGAGACCTGGTGCCGGGCGCCTTCCACCGGGGCCAGGTGCAGTTTCCAGCAAGCCCGGGGTAGGCGCACAACTCACACGGAGGAGTCGGAGGAGTCGTGTCATCAGCCTGAGGTCACACGGTCTTGGAACCCATTGCCCTGCTGGGCTGGTTCGTCCCCCTTCATCAGACTTGCGAAGGCTTGGGGGCAAACTGTCACCACCTGTAGCGCAGAAGTCAACAGGGTGTCTTGACTCAGGGCCGGGGCATGTGCTGGGAATGTACCAAAGTCATTTGGAAAGTTGGCAGAGCAGAGTCTGTTTAGCATAGGACTTCCCTCTGTGTCTGTCTGTCTGTGTTCATCTGGAATTTTATATCACACAGAGGGTGAGAGGAGGGGGAGGAACTGGGACATAGATCTAAAATACACCCAGGGGCCAGACTTTTGACATCTGGCCACCTGAGTCCTGAGGCTTTCTCTCCAGACATACTGCAGGTACCCACTGGAGGGCGCTGCAGAATCAGAGATCTTGGAGGTTTTGTCTGCGGGGAAGGAGCCGGGTTCCTGAGTGGCAGTGAATCCAAGGCAGGCCTGAGGACACTGTGCCCCACCCCGAAGCTCCGGCTCCAGGAGCACCTCTGCCCCAGACCTGGGCCGATGTGTGAAGTCAAGAGGGTTCATGTTCCAGATCAGAGTTCCTGGAGCCGCCAGCCCCTAGCACCAGCACACAAATGCGCACACAGACCCCCTCCCTACCACCCCCCTCCCCCCGCCCACACACCTCTCCCTCCCTGGGCTTCCCATTTTTCCATCTGTAAGTAAGGACAGGATAGGCCTGCTGGGGGAGAGTGTGCAGGTCCAGGCTCCACCCTGGGGCTCAGCCACCTACCTCTCATCGTAGGTGGCAGGATCGAATATGTGGTCTGTCCATCTGGATGTTGCCTGGATGTGCAGATGGGGGCCGTCCTGCCATCAACCAGAAAGAAATGCATCTGCATGTCTGGCTGACCTTCCTCCTCCGTAGGCATATGGGCGTCTAAGAGGGTTCAGGCAATCACACACACACACACACACACACAGGGAACAGAGGGAACACAAGCCAACTACAGGTAAGGGGTGGGTTATGTGGGCGTGAGCTCCCCACGGTCAGGCCTGCGGCCCCAACATCTAGCACAGAGGGAGGGGCGCTAGGCCGTGTGGCGTGGCATGTGGGCTCCCACAAAGGGAGCAAAGGGCTTACTTAACTGGAATTATCCTTGGGAAGGAAGGGTCCTCTGCATAGAACTGTCATTTGGAATCTGGGATGCCAAAGCACAAACTCTGAGCCCACTGAACCAATGGCCTTGCCGGGCTCCACGAGGCTGCTGTGCCCTGTGGTCAGCTCCCACAGAGCCAGCAGGGGCTGGCGAAGCGATTAGACAGGCCCACCCGGATGAACCAGAGGCACAAGTGCAGTCTATTACACTGAGAGCCAACGGGCATGGACGGGAAGGGAGGGTGACACGGGTCATATTGACAGGTGTCAGCAGTCTTGCAGACAGAGTCAAGATGAGGGAGGGATCAGAGATACCAGCCAAGGGCAGCCTGGGTGGCTCAGCGGTTTGGTGCCACCTTTGCCCCAGGGCGTGATCCTGGAGACCCGGGATCGAGTCCCACGTCGGGCTCCCTGTATGGAGCCTGCTTCTCCCTCGGCCTGTGTCTCCGCCTCTCTCTCTCTCTCTCTGTGTCTCTCATGAATAAATAAATAAAATCTTAAAAATATATATAAAAAAAAAGAGAGAGATACCAGCCAAGACTGGCCCTGGGCAAACATCTTGGAGGTGAGCAGGGGGCCTTTGCCCTCTGAAGACAGAGCACTGGGTCCCACATTTGCCTGTGTCCCAGTCAGCTGTGTGACCTTGGGTATGCCCCGTGACCTCTCTGAGCAATTGCTTCCTCATTTATAAAATGAACAGATTAAGGATGAGTATTTTAAAATGCTAGTATATGCATATTCCTTTCTTAAAAGATATGCAAAAAAATAGATGTTTTTCATCTGTTTGCTTTGGGAGTGGGGATGGAGGGACAAGAAGGAAAGGATTTTGTTTGGGGGTTGTTTTTATTTTTATTTTTTTTACGTTTTATCTTCTAATCCTCCATAAAGTCTGAAGTTTTTATGATAGCTGTAGGTTTTATAGTTTTGGTTTTTTTTAAAAAAAAAAATGCTGAGTACAAGAAAAAAGAAACAACTTCACGTAACCCAAAGAAACTGCTTATGTGTATGGAGCAGGGGATAAATCGGTAGAAATGCGCTGGAAGACAGGAGACACACCAAACATCCACAGTGGTCAATGGTGGAGGGGGTAAAGGAGAACCTTCACGCTTTCCTCTTTCCTATTTTATGTATTCACGTATTATACACGTAACGCTTCCCATTACGGTATAGAAATTTTACACCACGCTCTTCAGGAATTGCTTGTTTGCTTTTTAAACTATGCCCTTAGGTTCAGGCCTAATATCGTTTCTTTTTAAAGAATAAACAAAATGGAGAGGTTGTCTGAAGTGTCATTAAGATCCTGAATGGGGATCCCTGGGTGGCTCAGCGGTTTGGCACCTGCCTTCAGCCCAGGGTGTGCTCCTGGGGTCCCGGGATCGAGTCCCATGTCGGGCTCCCTGCATGGAGCCTGCTTCTCCCTCTGCCTGTGTCTCTGCCTCTCTCTGTGTGTGTCTCTCATGAATGAATAAATAAAATCTTTAAAAAAAAAAAAAAGATCCTGAATAATGAGTGGCTCCCAGATGAAAGTGTGTGGGACAGGGCTGGGCAGTGGGATCGGCCCCTCCAGCTGGGGGCGCTCTGGGACCTCTTCTGCAAAGGGATGTTGGGACAAGCCAGGATTCAGTGTGCCAACCTGTGGGCCCCAGGGGGCTACGGAGTAAAACACAGGGTCCCTTCCAGGCCTGAGGCTGGTCCGCAAAGGAGACTGCAGAGGCCTTGGGCACTCGGGAGAAGCTGTCTGCTGGGATGGGGGGGGGTTGGGTCCAGCGACAGCACAGCCGCTGGGGGCGCGGGTGGGGGACACTGTTCCTGCTAAACAAGCACTCATAGAAACCAGCCTTCCCGACAGATTGATGCATCTTTTTATGATCTGTCTTTACAATATGATGACTCTCTCCTTTTAAAAATAAGATTCATTCAGACAAGACATTTATTTTATGGGGAAAGCCATCCCGGGGGGGAAAAAATCCCCAAGCTGAATGGCAGAGATGGCTGGAAGGAGATTTCACTCTCCAGGCAGCTTCCAGCCTCCCAACCTTGGCCACGTGGTAGTGGCCCCAAAAGGGCTCCCCTATCCTGCCCACGGACCATCTTGGGCAATGCGGCCACCTTGAATCATCTCCACTGTGTGGAGTGTAGCCTGGTGGAGAAAGCAAAATCAAGAAAAATAGGTAGTGAGTTTCTGTGTGGCAGGGGAGAAAAGGGCACATTTTTTGTAAAAAAAAAAAAAAAAAAAAAAAAAAAAGTTCGAGATGTGGTAGGATAGTTTACATATATAGATTAAGCTTGTCTTTAAATGCCCCTGAGAGCCGTCGAGAAAAATGGATTATTTGTCTCTGTGTCTCTGTGATTGGAATAGCGCTACCACCTAGCAGGCGCTCGGCTGTGTGTCGTCAATGTTTCTCTCACCACGGTCCCTGTTTCAGCTGGTGGCACCAGGAGGTAGCATCGACTCTTCTGTCTCCCCCACTCTCTGGCCCCAGCCGGTCACCAGGCCCCGTCACATGACATTCCCCGTGTTTCTCACATCCTTTTCCTCTCCCCTTGGCCCTGCCCAGGTTCAGTCTTTCAATCGCCTTTTGCCTGGACCCTGGCAGCAGCCTCCTGGCTGGTCTCCCTGCCTCCAGCCTCTCCCAGCCATCCCCCACACACACTGTTGCGGATCTAATCACACAACTTCCTGTTGTGTAACTGTCCCTTTGCAGTCATCCGAGCCCTGAGACTGGCACATGGGCCTCCCCGATAAGCTAAGGACTCAGTTAAGATCTGCAACCACCACGTTACTACCGGCCCTTCCTGACCTCTTGTGTCTTGCCCATGCCCATCTCCCTCTCCAGGTAACAGAGCTCCCCCCAGAGCACCTTCAAAGCCTTGGCCTCTGCAGCGCCTGACGTATGGAGCACCCTTTCCCATCTTCAGATGGAGGTTTCAGAACATTTCATCACCTTGATGAAATCCTTGATGACCAACTTGTCACAGAATAAACAGCCTCCTTCGTATGATGGCACAGGACCTGCCTCCACTAGGGATCTTCCGCAGGTACTTACCTACTAGCCTGGGAGT